GCTAGTTACCTATTTGCTGTGGTTCCTGGGATGCAATTACCCCTGTGCCTAGAAGGGCCCCTAGAGATCTATGCAGGGCCTGGTGTGCTAGGCTCTGGGTGGACACTTCCACTGGTTACAGGCACACGCGGTGAATTCCCCAGGATGAGCCATTCAAGGTAGCTCCTTGTCTCAGGCTGAGGCAGTAGGGGCCACAATGGGCAGGTTCCAGCTGGGAGTCAGCTACTCCATGAGGATCTTCCTGAGGGAGACTTTCACAGACAGTGACTTCCCGGGAGGGGAAGGACTGGAGGGCATGGTTTCCAGCCTTTGGTCCCTGCTGCATACACTTCTAACCATGGTTGGTCCTTCCAACAATGAGCACAGTTGATTGTTCTACTTGGCCCACTGCTCTAAGTACCATGCTGCTGCTGCTGCCGCTGCCTGGATGATGGGGTTGTACCTGGAGAAATGGGCCAAGGGCAACTGTGAGCCCCACCCAGCCTCCTTGCATTGGGTCCTGTCACCCTACCCTTCTCTACATCACCTCCCCACCTCTCAGACACCCTACCTGCTCCTCCCCATTAGATCACTTTTCTCCTCTTTCTTCATAAGGCCACCCTCTCCTCTCTCCATTCTTTCCATCCCATCCCTCCTCTGACCACTTTCTCCTTCCTCTCTGTCCCCAACCTCTACATTTCTTCTCCTTTCCATTAATCCATCCTTGCCTTCCTGAGACCTCCACTCCTCACTTCCCCCACATCACCCTCATCTCTTGTTACTTCTCTGTTTCCCACTCTTCTGTCTCCTTCCACCCCCTCACACCTCTCTGTGACACCATCCCTCTTTTCTCCTTCAGCTCTCCACCCCCACTCATGCTCTCCATTACCCCTTCCCCATGCAAGCTGCCTCCGAGAGTCTTCAGTGGGCCTACAGGCTGATTAACATTGCAAACACACGGACATTGCCTCAGCCAGGATTTCTTGACATAAATTTTCATTTGTCATTCATGAATATTTCACACCTGCCTCAGGAGGAATTAGCCAACACAGGATGCAGCATAGCGGAGAACAAAGAAGGGGCAACACTGCAGCAAGTACAGGGGCTGAACCTACGGTCTGCATCTCAAGGAATGGATATTCACTTATGACTCTTTTCGGTGCTCTGTACTCAGAGTCTGTTCCAGTTCAGGTGGCTCCCCTCCTTCCAAGCAGTTGCCCCAGAGTCCACTGTAGGTGACACAGGGATCCATTTATGTGTCTTTAACTCCTCCCCAGAGAGTTGCCCCTAGATCCCATTCCAGGGGGCACAAGAATTAATCTCTGATTCTCCTCCTCCTTTCTAGTTAAGTGAACTAGATTCCTGTCCTCTGCAATGAACCCAGGACTCATGCCCGCACAGTAACAAAGCAAGAATGCAGCCCTAAGCTGTAGGTTTTGAGTCTGCCCAAAGGCAATTGTTTGTCCTGAGGGGTTTCATAGCCTGACAGTGAGAGGTCTTGGAAAAATAGAGCTAGAGATCCAGGCTGATCTCCTTAGCACACTTCTCCAGCACAGAGGCATTAGTAATTCTGCCATGTGCTGCACCCTGGCCAGGTTACAGCCAACTACCTAAAGGGGATGGAAAATGCTTGATCCAAAGCCTGTTAAGTCAGTGAGAGCTAGCTAATTGACTTCCGTGGACTCAGGATCAGGCCCTATGAAATCAGGTGTTCTCAAAGTGGTGGCCCTCCGCTGGCCCCAAACCAGGCTCTGTCCCTCCACTGAAAGGCCTCTTTTGTGGGTTCAGGGCGAGCTTATGGACGAGAAATTTGGAGCCCTCTCAGGGATACTTTGCTCATGCCTGTGGGCCACATTGACATCATGGGGACCAAGGAGGTAGGGTTACAACTGCACAAGTGAGCGGGGAGTGGGTCCATAACACTGACATACCCATAGACCTGGACATACCCATACCCACCCAGCCCCAACAGCAGCATATCTGGGGGGCTGTGGGGGGGTGGTTAAGAGCAGCAGGGGCGGGGAATGTTTCTCTTGGGGTACCCGGGTTGGGTTCTCTTTGGAGTCCGCTCCCTCTGAAGTTTGCAAGAATCTCGCATCAAATCACAACAGGGGTTGGGGGAAGAGGGAGAGTCAGGGGAGGTGGGGGTTAAATCTCGACAAACTGGCACATACACAACAGGTGTTTGCTCAGAAAAATACAGTAAAATCATCATGCAAATATAACGGTAAATCTGCTCATTTCAGACACGGCTCGTGTGTACTTGGTTCAGTGTTGCCGCTTCCATCCTCAAGCCCGTGGCAGGGAGGGAGGAGGAGGAAGGTGAGACAGGCCATTCCCCCTCCTGTTCCCCCATCTCTCCCCTACACCCTGTGGAACAGTCCATCTTATGCAAACTTTACCCAGGTGCTGGCCAAGGGTGACTGTGGGGATGGCGAGAGGCATGGGCTCCTCACTCCCCCTCCCAAAGGCATCTTGGGAGCTTCCTCTTCCAAGGGACCAGCAATGCCCCACCCCATCACTCCCCTTTCTTCTTCCTCTGCTTCCTTTTCCTCTCTGGGGAGTGGGGGGCAAAGCAAGGATGGACAAAGGGAGCTGAAGTCACTGCAGAGAGAATCCCCCCCTCCCCACAGCTTCAAACCACTGGCCACATGGCACAGTCTTTGGGACCTAGTGGGCACTGGCAGGAAGCTCCGGGGAAGGAGGAGCAGGGTTGGAGATATATAAAAGGACACCCTTCCCCTTTAGCCCCTGCTTCCACCTGCGCTGCCCTCAGATGGTTGCCATGCTGGAAGCCAGCATGGGCCAGCTGCTTCCATGGCAGGCTCCCTGAAGTGTCCAGCTCCTCCTTCTCCCTCTTACATGTCAGCCTAGCCCTGCCTCTCAAGTTGCAATCTCTCTTGGTTGCTAGGCTCCCGCTGTTGTTTTGACCCCACATTAACATGCCCCCTTCCCCTGGCTGCACCAGCTAAGAGGGGTGGGCTCAGTCCTGTTCTAATGTTTGGGATCAATACCTGGCAGTATCACCCATGGAAACATGCTGACAAGCAGCAGGGCCCACCAGCACATTAGAGGAGCTAGCATAGGCAGTCCAAAGGACTATACCTACCTCATCCCTTCCCCATGACCACCACAGAAATGACACCCCTGGGATACTTCCCCCAGGATCTCTATTGCAAACACATTCCTGGGCCCTCTTCCCCGCCCTGTGCCCAGGATCTCCACAGGAAATACAACCCTGGGACCCTTTCCTCAGGGTCTCCACTGAGAACACACTCCTGGGGCCCTTTCCCCAGGATCTCCATAGGAAATACAACCCTGGGAGCCTTCCCCTAGGATTTTCCATTGGAAACACACTCCTGGGACCACCCCACCCAGGAACTGCATCAGGAACGCACCCCTCAGATTCACCACAGCAGCCCCTAGGTGCTGCCGAACAAGAGCCAGTTTTTCATGAAGCAGCTAAGACCCCAGACATCTGAAAAACACCAAGACCATTCCCGAGCGGCTGCTGTGGGAAGCCCAGTGACTACTTTAGAGAGATATCCCATCAGGCCCTTGACCTTTCCCTTTATGTCTCCTGCCTTTCTCCCCACAGAGATGCACCAACTGCCTCTGGACATCCCCAGAGCTCCAAGCAGCTCCTCAGAGACATCACCCCCCAGCCCCAGGGCAGTGGGAGAGGCACAGAGGTTGGTCATATAGCCACCTCTCCCTGACTATGCCTGGCAGTATGCAAAGGGACAGAGATCACTCCCTGTGTCACTGCCATCTGAAAGGATTGTCAAGGAAGGTCATGGAGTGCCACACTGAACAGCCCCCACATAGTGGGCTGGCACCCCTGCACGCAAACAAGTGGAGTGGGTGGTAGCCAAGATTGTGCTTTGTTAGTTTGTTCTGAGATAGGGAGGGGATGGGGACAGCAGGCTGCACTCTCATCTTCCCCCCCACAACACTAGGCAGGGAACGGAGCTCAGGTCCAATGCCCAGATAAAAGGGCGCTAGAGGCAGGTCTCTCAAGGGATCCTTCTCACTGGGGACAGCCAGGTCCCCTGTGACTTCGCAGGTGAGAAGGTGCTCCAGTTCTTCTGATGGCCGGCGCCAGGAACGGCCCTCCCCTCACCTGCACCACCTCTGTAATGGGGCCCAGGAGGGGCAGGGTGATGGCATCATTTCCTGAGCTGCACCCTCCTCTCCTTTGCCCAGAGCTGTCCTCCTGCACTGTACCCTCTTGTCCCATGCTCAATCATGTTCCCCCTACATGTCCCTGTACCCTGCCCCCACTACCAGCTTTTCACCTATCAGCTTTTCTCTAACTTTGGGGCCTGCCTCTTATCTAGGAGAGTTGCCTGTGCCTCATTGGAGTGGGACCCACTCCTTGGGGGTCTCCTCCAGCCCCGGACTTTCTCAATGGACGGACTGAGTACAGGGGCAATCAGGAACTGACACGAGTGTCTGTTTACATCCATTCTTTCTGTACCCCTCAGGGAAGGGGGACCCTGCTATGGGAGAGCTGGGTGAGAGGGTGACAGAGGCAGTAATGTAACTGAGGGCAGTCACCAGGGCAGCAGCTCCTGGAGGGCACAAAAGCAGCCACTGCTGCAGTAGTTTCCTGCTGTTGTGATTCCTCCACTAAGTATCCTCTGCCCACACCCCCAGGGGTCAAAGCCCTTCCTTGAGTGCAGGACAGTGGGGATGGAGGGGAAGTGGGGGCAGGGGAGGAGCAGAGCCTGGGAGTGGGAGGGAGATGTAAGCTGAGTGTATGCGTGGGGTGTGCAATGGGAAGGGGCACACTCCTGATCTCAAAGAGGTTGAGAATTCCTGTCTTCTCACCCATCTCTGCTGGCCCTGCCTTTAGCAATGCCAGAGGTCATGCTCCCGACCACGTACTGGAAGACTACTGGAATGTACTGCTGGGGCTGGCCTTGGGGACCCGCCCTGCAGGGCTCAAGAGCCAGTGACCGCTCT